GAGAAAGACGATCATACGTGCAAAGCAGCCTGTGTTTATTCGACGGCTGTTTACAGAACAACTCAGGATAGTCGGTGTGGCCGTTGGTGAAGCACTTATTTTCCAGCAGCCCGCAGCCAGAGTTATTACCCCACCGCAACTGCTCTGCCATGTCGTAGTTAGCCTTGTACACACCCATGTCCTCAAATGCAGCAAGCGTGAATGCCGAGTAATAAGCGATCCGGCTCCCAGGGCTCATCAACTCGTCCCGTGCACTGAGTTCCTCCCAGTGGCTCAGACTTGCCCCCAGACTACTCCCGTCCTCCAGCTCCATGCCCTCAAGTGTGGGGCAGTTGTGATACTTCCTCGCCAGCTCCTTCACCTTCGGTGAGGAAACCACCCACACCTTTTCTTTCCCGCGCACATTGGGGACCTCGGAGACCATATTGAGCTTCTTAAAGCGATCATACGAAAAACCAAGAGCGTGCCCAATCTCATGCACTGCAGTACCAACGTCTGCATGAGTGGCCTTTATGTACTGGGGGTTGAAGTTCACGACGCCAGCATACGGGCGTCCATCCTTCAGAACGACGCAGCGAGACGCCCATGCAACGGTCCCATCAGTCACGGCAGTGTTGACGTAGAGAATCAGGTCGGCGCCGCTCACGCCGACCGTGTGGTGCCAGGAAGGGATAGTTAAACCGGTGCACAGCCCTAGACCACTATCTGGTATGGGGATGGGACCCCTCACAGGTCTCACGGAGAGACGCTCAGTGTGCATCTTAATTGCAGCGGGGAGGAGTTGCTTCAAAACAATGTTCTTCTTCGCCTCCGTCAGCATAATGTCCTCCGTGCATTCCTTCCAGTCGCCATCGACCAGGCGCCAATGCTTCCCTGGGAGGCAGTGCTTCCACTGATCATCCATGTCCTTCGCAGACACTTTGATGCGGATCGGGGCCCACTCACTCCCCACGCCTTGTGCAGCGACGGTGTACGCCTGCATCTCACCCTGTCCTCTGCGCGGCACATCACGCACCACTGCAGTCGCCGGCGGCCCCCTCCGCATCATCTCGTCAAACCCGCAGCGGTGCTTCTGGGCGGGAGCGTCGGCAACGCACCCAGCGGCGAAACACATCAGCAGCAGCAAAAGCACCGCCAGTGATACAAACGGCGTGCTGCAGCGTGGCTGGCACATTGCCTGAACAAACTGCCCGTGTTGCTTCCGTTTGAACATCAGCAGCGGCATTATTAGTAGCAGTAGCAGCAGTAGCAGTAGCAGTGATCGCGCAGACCTTTTAGGCGGGGGAAAAAAAAAGAAAAATAAAAAGAAAAAGACTTACAACAGACATAAAACAACAAAATCAATCAAAATCTTCCAACTCGGTGCACACGGCATGAGACACGCGCTGCCGCTGCCTTTGCCAGCCCCTTCAGCGATCGGCACGTTTGTGTCGCACTGCCGCGGCGCAGCCGTCATGCGGCCAGTGCCGTCTGTCAGCTCCCCGCTTCTGTCGGGCACAAGCTGCAGCTGCAGGTACGCCTGCCGCGCGTCCTGTCTGCCCCGCCGCCTTGCACCTTCGCCACAACCACACTGCAGCAACGCACCACGCCGCGACGTGAGTTCGACGCCCAACACCACGCGACAAACAAAATACAAACCGGGCACACTCCCGAGATGCCGTGATCCCGCCGCAACGTGTGCCGCACAATGCCCACCGTGTGACACACAAAGGCGTCGAGGCCCCGGCAGCCGCAGCACAGCACCGCGCCTCCCATGAGTGCCCCAATCCATAGCAGCGCGCCTCTGCAGAGCAAACTGCGCCGTGGGCTTCCGGAATGTGGTTCCGATGACCGCATAGAAGGCTCGTCCATACGCCAAGAGAAGAAGAACTGCGTCCCTGCCTGCAATCCCAATCACACTACTCACGTAGAGTCCATCCCCGCTGCGTCGAAACATTGACGCCGTCACCAGCAGCACTGGTGGCGCGAGTCGGTCCGCAGCAACCCGCAACGGACAGAGACAAGTCTGATGTCAATGCGAAGGCAACGGCCTCCGGCACACGCCCATCAACGCTGCCAAGTCCCTGTCGTAGCTCGCGTCATTTGGCGGCAGCGTTCCCCAAGACAGTGCTCGAAAAATGCGCGGCTGCGA